GAATTGTCGGCTGAAGTCAGGTGGAATCTACAATTTTGTATACCTGGCAAAATACGGCAGTGTCCACAAATATTTTGTTCGCAAATGATATAATTTATTTGTTCTCTAAATTATAAAACTAGAAATTGATCTCATCGTTTCAAAAAGGAATCAATTAGAGCAGCAAGCAGAGTTAGCAAATTAAACTCTAAATGTTGCAAAATCTATTAGTTCAAGGTGACAAAAATCTTCACCAAAATTTCTCTGAACATCATGAAATCTCGCAATTAAATGAGGTAATCAAATTAAAATTATTGAAATATTGGTTTAAAAATTTTTTATCACAAATCCAGCAATGAATTAAAAAAGTTTTGTGAGTCGCTATTACAGAATTGAATTTTAATATCAATTTTAGCTTTAATACATTGCAAAATAATTTGATGACATCATATTCAATTAATTTCAATGGTTTTATTAAAAATGCAAAATTTAAAATGTTGGAAATACTGAAATTTTAAAGAATTATAACATTAATTTGAACTTGTTTGGGAACTTCCCTGGTGCCATATCTTTGGTCGATATTTTGGTGGCAAGAATCTTCTCACAATAATATCATAAATTATTTGAAACATCAGTTTAAAATGATAAATTAATATTGAGATGCGAAATTGAAATTTTTTAAAAACAAATCGTAAATCAATAAAATTCTGTGAATCGCTAATGCAGAATTGAATTTTTATATCAATTTTAGCTTTAGTACCTTGCAAACTTTTTTTAATTTTTTTTTAAAATTTTTAATTTGCCACTGTTCTAATTCATTCTTACAATTGAAATTAATTTTTATTTCAAATTTAAATATCAAATTTTATGAAAATTCAATAATTTATTAGAGTTTTGTATATTAAATTATAAAATAAATTCAGTAATGTCAAAAATTTATTTTAATTAAATGTTAAAATATTTAAAAATTTGAACTCCTTAAAAAAAATAGATATTTTGACCTTAATTGATTAATTTATAAGCGTTGCATAAGTACTGGTCATTTACGATGTGGTCAATAAGCAACATAAATAATAAAATAAGCTTTAATAATTAAGTTTTAATTAAATATTTGATTAGCAAAATTGATTAAATTTTTAATTTGTCACGGTTTTAATTCATTTTGCAATTAAAATTAAATTTTATTTCAAATTTAGATATTGATTTTTATGAAAATCCTACAATTAGTAGGAATATGAAATGAAACCCGGCATTGTCAAATTTCAATTCAATTAAATGTTAAAACATTAAAAAATATCAATTCAATAAAAAAATAGATATTTTCATCTCAATTGATTAATTTTTATTCATTTCATGAGTACTTTTTATTCATACATTGTGGTCATTTGACCAGCATAAATAATAAAATAATCACTACAAATTAGGTTTTAATCAATATTTTATTAGAAAAATTAATTAATTTCTTTTATTTATCACGGTTTTGTTTTATTCTAACAATTATAATAATTTTTTTTTCAAATTTAAATACCAAAATTTAAGAAAACTGTATAATTTTCAAAAGTTTTTGTATATTAAACTATGAAATAAATCCCGGACTTGTCAAAATTTAATTTAATTAAATGTTAAAAAATTTAAAAATATCAATTCAATAAAAAAATTCGGATATTTTGAGCTTAACTGATTAATTTGTATGCATTGCATAGGTACTGGTCATTTACGGTTGGTCATTTGATCAGCACAAATAATTAAATAAACTTTAAAAATTATATTTTAATCAATATTTTATTAGCTTAAATTAATTAAATTTTTAATTCTATCACGATTAAAATTAATTTTTATTTTAAATTTAAATAATACATTTATAAAAATTCCATAATTTGTACGGGTATTTGCATATTAAACTAGGTAAGAAGTTCTACTATTTTCAAAATTTAATTTCAAAGGATGTTAAAAGTATTAAAAAAATAAATTAATCTTTTTTAAGGAATTGATATTTGAAAATAATTAATTTTTTTTAAGGAATTGATATTTTTTAATAGTTTTAACATTTAATTAAAATCAAAATTGATAAAACTAGAGATTTTTTCTCCCTTTAATATACAAAAGCTCTTGCAAATTATAAAATTTTCACCAAAATCAATTTTTAGATTTGAAATAATGCTTGCTTATAAAATAATCAATTAAGTTGAAGCTATATAATTTTTTTAATGATTCGATTCTTTTCAATATTTTGACATTTAATTAAAATGATTTTTTGATATTGCTAGAATTTATTTCATAGTTTAATGTACAAAATCCTAACAAATTATTGAATTCTCATATTGAAAGTTTGATATTTAAATTTGAAATAGAAATTAATTTGAATTGTAAGAATGAATTAAAACCGTGATAAATTAAAGATTTAATCAATTCCGCTAGTCAAATATTTATTGAAACTTAATTTTTAAAGTTTATTTTACTATTCATGCTGATCAATTGACCAATTATAAATGACCAGTACCCATGTAATGCATAAAAATTAATCAATTTAAGCTCAAAATATCTAACTCTTTTTAATGAATATATATATATATATATATATTTTAACAGTTCTGACATTTAATTAAAGTAAAATTTGGTATTACTAGAAATTATTTCGTAGTCTAATATACAAAAAAGGTTTTGATTCATTGCAAATCATAAAACTTTCATAAAATTCGATCTTAAAATTTCAAACAAAAATTAATTTTAGCTGCAGAAATGAATTAAATCTACGACAAATTAAAAATCTTATTAATTTCACTTCTCAAATATTAAAAAAAACTTAGTTATTAAAGTTTATTTTCTTATTTATATATCCTTACCTTTCTGTCGCATTATGCTTGAGGAAATTAATTGAAGAAATTAATTAGATAAAGTTTTGAGCAGATAATACTTATTTGATTGCTCTTATTTGAAAAAAGTACTTATTTGAAAGAAAAAAACATGTTAATCACATTGATAGCGGTGAAAAGAATGGAGCGTTCTGAAGGATTTGTAATCAGAATGAGATTTTCAATTTATTTTTTTATTTCGATTCAAAAATTAATCTCGTAAGTGCCAATCTCTCAATACCTGTTCAGCGAAAAAATTTCACAAATACATCCATCATTCAGAGCATCGTAGATTTTAAATTTCGTTTCTCTTTTATTCGTCGAATGTTCCAAGCTTTGTACAAATTTTCCGGATCGTTTCATCACATATATTACTTTTGCGACCTAACACTTTACGCTGTTGAATATGTTTGCTCTTTGCTTCCTGTAATTTAGACAAAGTTCACTTCAAAATTTTTAAGACATGGATCTTCGAAAGATAGGATATGATGTGCTAAATCAATGAAAAATACTGAATCCAACTTTGTTGGAGCTTATTTTAGGCTTCTCCTCACTTTTTGTTGTTTTGGCTCGACAAGACATCTGTTGATTGTCTGAATAATTAGCTTTGAAAAGGCTGCTTTTGTTCCTTTTTCCATGTCTGATGTTTTCAGTTATGTTGTAAATCTCATGTAAACGATTTGTAGGAGTCAAGGAAAGAATTGTTATGATTTGCTTTGAAGATAAAGAATTTTATCAAAATTGATCTACAAAGGCCTTTTTTATTTTAAAAAGTTTTTTCTTTTTCTTTGTCTCTTTCGGGAAATGAATGGTAGCCAACTGACAATAGAAATAGAATTTACTACCACAGCAGAAAGCTCACTGCCTAAGAGAATTTACGATTTCTTCCCTCCGCTCATCATTTCTATCCTCAGCTGTGAACATTAAGAATCGCAATACCTGTAAGGAGCAAGCAGTTGTCTCAAATTGCTGTTGAAAGAGCGCTTTACAAATAAGTTTCTTTAGTTCTTAATGCTTCTTATATCAAGCAATTGAGAAGTAATTGCCTTACTTACTTGATCGCTGTATTCGTGAGCTTTTTCACTGATACGTCGCAATGGACCGATGGGTGCAAGCACTGCGAATGCATCTGAATGCTTTCTTGTATTCGATTAGGAATCAATTCAATCTCTTTATGGAATAATTAAGATCAGAATGTTTTATCTTCTCTAAAAGATAAAATTTATCTCTTTTCTCAAGTCTTTCCTCTTTTCTGGTCATTTTGATCGGCGATCTAATTTGTTGCAATGATCGCATTCATACGATTCTGCAACTGTCCACAATCTCATATGCACTGCTTACAGTCAGAGAGGGTTTCACAGAAATATTACTTAGATTGTACAGCGAACTCATCAACTTACCCCAAATAATAATGCATACCAATACAAACCACGCAGTATGTGTAGGGAACATTCGAAGGTAAAACACAGAAACCAATGAACAGTTGCAAATGACGTAGAATTGATGCATGTAAAGAGGAGTTTTTTTGGTGAAGAATACGAGGATACCGATGGTACCACTATGTAATAACAGTAAGTGTTGTGAGTATAGGAGGAGCGGTCTGGAAGCCAATTGCTTTGAATAAGTCTTGGAAATAGCTTATTATTCTTATGATCAATATGATAAAGGATAGATTAAGGATAATATGATAAATGATAGTTAATGACATAATTGGGCTAATGTCATCTGAAATTCACTGAAGAGAATTCCTTACTTTTTTAACTCATTAGCTTCTAAACTTCGACATCTCTTGCTTTTCAGTAAATTGAAGCGTTAAGTTCACTGACAAGAAATATTTTATAAAGCGTTCTCTGAAGGCAATGATAATGAGCACTTGTGGTAATAACGCAGTTTGCTGCACGAATGTATTTTATATAAAGTGACACCACTTTGTACATCGTTCTGATGCAATTAATTAGTAATTGACGCTATTTGATTCAGCTTACCTCTTCCGGATTTCAGATTCAGATACAAGTTGCAGTCACTCTTGGCTGGGTAATCTTTACCGGTTGTTATTCTGATTTATGTTTGTAGTACGGCTTTTAGTGCAAAATTTATTATAGCTAACATCAACACGCATCCGATGCCATTTATCTGTGAATTTAAACATACTATGTAAAGCGATTAAAGCTACTGTGAGCTAGAAGCATATTGATTGGAAATTGTTCCAGAAGCAGTCTCAAGTTCCATTTTTGCATGACATTCACCAAGATCAATCCCCCTAGAGAATTTGACCGGCGAATCTCAGTGATCTCAATTACAATTGCAATTATTCCGCAGCATTCGACAAGTCCTTCACTATTAAATAGATTTTTCTCTGTTTTAAATCATTACCCATAAATGTAAGATAACCAACTTATCACTTAATGTAATTACAGTGAAGAACATTCGCTGTGGTGTTTCGTTCGAATCGTCAAATAGAAGAAAGTAAAGGTCAAATGAAGTCAATAAAGTTCCATTGCTGTGCAATCCAATTTTCTGACTACTTGCAAGCTTCGAGAGCTCTAGCCATCTCGTCGACGACTTCATTTTCGGTTGTATGATTATGGACCGGATCGAACTTATAATAGAAGACAGAATTCGAATCCTTTTTGGTATAATATATACCAATCCAAACAATTAGTGTTAACATTATATTAAGAGTGACAGGAATCAGCAATTTCTCAACCTGAAAATACATCTCACTATCTCCCCAAACAATATTTGGCTGTAATTTCAGTTCAAGTGTAGCCAGTCGCTCCATGGTGTATTTGCAAATGATACTCGACAGTGACAACCATCACTTCATTTCATATGCTGTAACACCATTTTAGATCCCTCTCATTTCTCCTCCTCCTGTTCTCCTTCCACCCGTATCTTCTTTTTGACATTTTCAGATTCAAGCAAAAACTTGAAAATCAAGCGCAGTCTCACCTATTATCAGCAGAGAACACGACAATAAAAAGTTCAGCGACCGCAAAGCGCCCCTACAGAAAATAAAGATGGAATTATTTTTCCTTCTCACTCTATTCAACCAGTCTTTCATCTAGCTACATATTTTGTAAACTTTAATTTTAAATAATTTGCATAAAAAATATGTACGGGTATGATTTCCTCAGCGTCTGAACTCTCTAAATTTCTCTTATATTTCAAAGAGATATGACCACAGTTATCACATCGTAATACCACGCACAGTAATGGGCGCAGAAAGCAACTGACTTGCCATCCTCTCACTCAATCGATGACTGAAGCAACAGCTTGTGACAATTGATAGGATTGGTGGTTACTGTGACCCGTAGTGCTGGGACATTCGTATTAAAACAGTCGAAATGGGTTCAATTAGAAATTTAAGTTGAGCGACCGAATCATAATATTAGCAAAATCAAAGTGACAAAGTTATGTTGAAGAGAACGAAATTGTGTACAATAGAAGTGCTGGAACAGCATTCTAACATCTGACTAAATCACTTAGTTGTAAAGCCAAATGGAGATGGAAGCGAATTTCAGTTAGGATCTTAATTATTTTTTAGAAAACAGGTTTTTTTTTTCCTGATTTTCGGACTCCAGAAAGAGCTGTTGTAATCCAGTCTAAGAGCAGCTCATTTCATAACTTCAATTGTGCCACAAAAACCGAAATAATTTGTAATTGTGTGCTAGAAATATTTCTCATCAAATGATTCAAAATGAATGCAAATGAGTGTTATGATGTAATGAACTACTTATCTAATTTTCATCTTTGTTTTTAACTATCAGCTTATCATCACTGGTTAAATACCAAAAACCAATTCACACATTTTCACTCTGATAACTAATATTTAAGGTTTTCCTTTTTTGTGCAGGTAACTCTCTTCACAACAGTATTACAGCATATCTTTGTAAATCACCCATTAGGAAGAGTTCGTTATCTAGTTCTTTCTTCATTTATAGTTCTACACAATAACTTTTTTCATACTCTCGAAGAGCTTTTGCCTTGGCATCTTGAGAACTCTCCTAAACTACAACTCAAGCAACTCCTTAGCAAATCCCATTCAAACCTTGAAACGGTTTCTTCAAACGATCAATGATCGTCTATTGACTAATAATTATCATATAATATTACCATCCATCTTCAATAAAGAACGAACATTTACAATAATTCTTTGTGAGAGACCAAATTACTCAAATCAAGAAATTTCCATGACAAATTTGATGCTACGAATCGGGAAGTCAACAGCTTAATTAAAAGCCCTTCATTGTGAATGGATTATATCTCGAGTTGTGTAGTCTGGATTTAGCGACGAATGCTAATTCATAGTAACTTTTGTATAATCCCAAATTTTTTTTAACTTCTCTTCACTGACTTATTTTATACCTTGTTCTTAGTGAACCATTTCTATATAAATTTCTTCTTTCCTTTTGAATAGAATCGAGAATGTTCATAATTGATTCAAGAATACCACGGTTAATTGATTAGCGACAAATCTAATTCTTTTATTTCCCTGGGAAGTCCTAGCTTTTCTGCTAATTACCTGAGCTCTGTCCGCTGTTTGTCATATTTTTTCTTTAACCTCCTCGTTTGATAGTTTATGAATGCTCTTTTGAATCCGGAAGAAAGTGTTACAATAGCGCGTACGTAAATCTGATACTTAGGAAGAATATTGTTCCATCATTTCAGCAATACGATGTGAGGAATAAGATTCTAATCATTTTCGATGCATTTAATGGGTTCATTTAATGAAGTTGCATCTTCACATCTATTGATAGTATCACCGATGGGAACTTCATCGGATGGAAGCATCACCTGAAATTTGCTAATTATTGCTTTTTGACATACATCCACTGCTATTATCAGAAAGAATTTCAACATAAGCAATGTTTGATGTTTGAAACAAATTCTAGAAGTTTGGTTGACAAAATGGAGTAACATTTGCATAAAGGAAATTGATGAATAGCTGGGATTAAATGTCATCGTATGGTGAAATATTTAATCAATTGTGCAGTATTAAATAATCTTGCCTGCTTTGTTTAATAAAATATAGTATATTGAATGGTTATTTGCATATTGTAAAAGTTGTAAATTTTGGTGACGTAAATTAAATGACAATTGAAAATATGTTGACTTATTTCCAATATTTATTCTTAGGTACTGCATGGTACCTTAATGGCATTTCAATTGGTCGGATTTAATTCCATGTATCTTTCTTTCCATCTGTTCTTTTAAATTAATTTCTTTACCTAATAATTAAGTTAATAATATTCCATACATATGATTTGTTTTGCAGCAGTAATTCCACTAATATTTGAAAATATAAAGTAATGAATTTAACTCCTATTTATTGTGACATTTGTTTTTTTGTTGAAAAATTACAAATAAATTTGTTGAAGGGAATTGTCAAATCTACCGCCCAATTTAATTGTGATGATTAAATGCTATTTTTTTTTTCTGTTTTTGCCACCAGACTATGTCACCAAACAGTTAAAAGTATAAGGGTATGAGTTGTGACAATGGTTAATTTGTTCATCATATCACGTAAGTTAAGATAGGGTATAACAGTCAGTACTTTAGCATTTGTTAAATGATCAAACCAATATTTTGTAATATTCACTTCTTTTCTCTTTTGCCGATTTGGATACTTTGTAAATAATAATAAAATAATGAATTGAAAATTATTTGGTCGCAATTAGCTTTGATGCACTTCAGTTTTTCCTTTAATTTTTAATTGCAAATGAATTTTACCCATTTACTTTAATTACCAATATGTATAGGATTATAATTTTCACGAGATATGGCTTAAAGAATGCGTATATCAAAAGACAAAAGCAGATTACTTACTTCAGCATTAATACTTCGTAATTACGATTGCACCATTTTTTGTTTCTATATAGAACATAAGAGTAATTAAAGGTAGGCCAGTTGCAGCACGATACTTATTCGGTGGTAGACTAAAAAATATTATTGTGTATTGACGTAATGGGTGTCAAAGTCGAATCATAAACGATTTAGTAGACTGCAGACAAACTGCAAAATGATTCGACGTATTAAGTGCTAGGCTTTTTTATCAATTTGTAAAATAATAATAGTGGGCAAATTTTCACTTAGTATATAGCTTATCTTATTTTCTCTTTATTCCCATCGTAGATAAATTGTTTTTAAAATGATTTGAGATCTTAGTTATTAACTTTTTAAAATTTTTCAGTGTTAGAAAATTGGGAGATAGGAAGTTTTTTCATCAAAGCAGAAATTTGTCGCTTGATTGAGGAAATATTTTGAGGAGAAATTTGTTCTTCACATTTAGGTTTTTGCTAAGTCACAAATATTGGTAAATCTTGCTTTATTATGGAAGGAAAAAATTTTGACGCATTATGAATTTAATAAATTGTTTTTAAGGAGATCTGAAGTTGTCGGAAATTCTACTACATTTATTTTTCAAGAGTCAGTAGTTACTTTTTTTCAAAGCCGTGATAAATTAATAATAAGCAACTATGAAAATAAAATCAGATCATAAACTGATCACAAAAATTTTTTAGATGCTGCTTTGTTTAGCTAAGATAAATGAACAGTCAGTCGCAGTGTGGCTTAGCAGATGGAATGCATATCTTTCATGAATTAGGAATCTATCAATTTAGCCGAGAGGACAAAGATTCATTTCTCCATTGATATTTCCAAAATTTTTTGATGTATCATTGAAGCATCACTATCACCATTGTCAACACCTTTTAAGCAAATCGTTCGTCATTGACAGCTATTACATCTGAGTGAATAATAATGATGAGAACATGCTGTAGTGTAAGTATCTAATGAGTGTAAGTATAAGTTTTATCCTAAGACTAACTCTAAGCTTAAATACAAGTGTTATCCTAATTCCTTTCCATGTGATATCGTTAGATGAAAAATTGCATATTTTATTGGAGTAAATGCACATTTGTTCTTTTTGACGACAATTTTGATTTTGATAAATGCTAATTTTGTCATTCTCTGAATTAAGTAAAACAATGCCTTCCATACGCAGAAAAGTAATATTGTTTCTGAGATCTTACATCAAACTTTCGGCGGTTGACTTGCAAAAGTTTTTAGTGTCGGATACCCTGGGAAGTTTTTTCATTAGACGGAATATCTGGTACTTATTTTGCATTTTAAGGTATAGACCAAACTGAAGATGCCGGTTTCCTCAATTCGTGTTGCTCACTTTTGTTATAAATTATTAGGAGAATATTTTCTTCTACTTATATTTTTTTATTACCTTTTTGCATGACAAATCGTTTATTGAGAGTTGCACTTAATTGCTTGTCTTCGAATTTTAGGTTTTACTGTCAATTATACTTTTATGCACTTCTGTAATATTCATGGAATATTAAATAAAGATGAAATATTATAAAACACAATGATAAAATAAAATTATAAATTGGCCACCGCATTCTGATGCCTCGAAAACGTCCGATTGTTACGCTCTTTTCTCATGCATGCGAAGAATGCCCAAATTGTGTCTCATTTTCTAGAATGAAAATTTATAGTTGTTTTATAGTGCTAAAACAATGATTAACAGTATTTGGTTTTGTGAGGGATTGATATGCTTTTCTGCATGTTTTTCGCTTAAGGAAAACAAAATAATTTGACCAAAAGTTTTTTTTTTTTTATTTCTTTCTCTGTTGATATTTTCGATGTTTGTTGATGTATCTTAAAGCGTTATTGTCACCTTGTTAACATCTTTTTAAGCAGTTGGTTCTCGGGCAGCTGCTATGCATTAAGTGCACGATATGAAAAGAAATAAATATACATTATGAATGT